ATGTATTGAGAAGAACATGGATTGTGGAACTCCGAAAACTGAAAATAAATTTAAAGAAGTTACCTGCACCGATTTATTTTGCTGAGTGATTTACTGGTTCGAAATTGTAACGTGAAATTTGGAGAAAGGATGGACTGTTGCAGTGGTCAATAGATTAGAAGATGATGATGATGAAATTAAAGAAAATACTTGTTCTAATGTTGAAGAATTTACCTAGTTGAATGCCAAGTTTTCTGTGAGGGTTTGCAGCCGTGAGACTTGAGAGTGGATTTTGGAATTGATTGGATTTTAGGTTTTTAACACAATTGAGCCATACAAACCTAGGCTCCAGAATTTGGACACTCGATTGGGCTGTTAATGGACTTAAACTTGGGCCAAATAAGAACATTGGACCAAGAGTAATTTAAAATAGAAAACTTGACCCGATAAGGAAATATTGAATTTTTAAGATTAAAAATCGTTTTGAATTCTTATATTAAATGTTTTGCTAGACAACTCGACGGAACGTAAATATAAATTCTAAATTTTGACGGGAATGTCGTAGCGACATAATTGAAGTTATAAAATATGCATTTTAAACTTTGGGTCGCTACATGATGCTATCTCTCTTTGTTTTACTTTTTACTTTCATGCACTTGCTTGTAAACAGTAATTTGACCCCATAATTCCTGAAGTACTTCTTGCTGCTGTTAATTGACACACCAGAGTTATTTAATGAATTTGACTCCTGCATTTTAGTTCATCCTTATTAGCTTTACATACCAGTTGTCTTATCACTTTCCTTTTTTCTCCGTGTCCAAATGTGCCTGGAGTCTAAATAGCTTCACAAGCCTCTCTCTAATGTTCTGTGATCTTTTGAATTTGTGTGGTCTAGCTTGGGGAACTAAAGCTGGGAGAGTTATTGGACACACCTCCGCCTGGTTTAGATGAAGCTATTGCAATTTCAAAGGCATGTATTCTGTTTCGAGCAAAAGGTTCTACTACATGATGTTCGCAAGAGAATTTAGTTCTGCCTGCTTTTTTTTACTGATTTCAAGAACTTCATTGACAGGTTATGCAATTCCTTGAATCACAAGAATACAATACGTTTACTCGAATAGTGTTTGATACTGCCCCCACGGTGAGGAAAATAATGATTATTTTATGCTTCATTTCATCGAAGAAAGTTCTTTGGCCTTGATGGGTGGTTCTACAGGGTCACACATTACGGCTGCTATCGTTGCCCGACTTCTTGGATGCATCAATTGGGAAGATATTGAAGGTAACCATTTTGGTCTCAAATCCATTTTTACAATGGCCTTTACATGCATCGTGACTCATTGATAATTGTTTTGAGCTACCCATGGTTTTTCAAAATTCCGTGCTTATAATGAAGTTTAAATGCTTATAGTTTAAAAATAATTTGCAACCAACCAGTAGGTTTCTTAGGGCTATTTTGTCATTTCCAAAAATTTGAAGTGTTGTGTATCAATAATTTGTATGTATAACGTGGTTTAAAAGTTTTACATAATTAATTTTCACATACACGCGTGCACACACACACACATACTCTTGATCATTGGGGAATGCCATATGAGCTCATACTAAGTAAGAGTAGAACTCCAAGTTTGTCATCCAATGCTTTCTTTCGATCCACGATGAGATGCACTTATCACCAACCCAATCTCGATGAAATGAAAAAGACAAGTACAAGCAACCTCTTCTGTTAGAAATGCACGATAGAAATGTAGACTGAGATACTTGAATAACATAAGATCGGTAAAGGTTGAGGGAGGAGAATATTGCTACAATTAGTGTAAAAACTAGTGTTCTAAAAAGCTTAAAGCGTAGTTAGTCATGGAGGTAAAGTTTCAAGCTTTACGAGTTTAAGTGAGCCTAAGTGACGCCTAGGCTTAAAAAAACGTTTCTTGTTTTTAATATTAATTTAAAATTTTAATCATTTTAAAAATCATTTAATAATTAAAATAATACATATAAAACATCTAAAATAATAAAATATTATATTTACTCAATAATTCATACAATTATCAATTATACGATTTTTAAGTTTTCGAAATGTAAGAACTAGACTATTTTTCATAATTTCAATTTTCAACTAGATAAGTCCTACTTAATAAATTTATAGGAACTTCATACATACTTTCGAAGTTTTCAACAAAATAACGAATCTCAAAATCGTAATTACATATGTAGATAGCACCGTAGCTTAATCTTATTTTAACTCTTTATCGAATAAAGTTATTTTTAACTTTTATACGGATAGTCTTTTAAAAACTTGAAATTAAAGTCACACAAAAAGGTTTTTAAATAATAAAAAAAATTAATAAACTAAAGTCAAATAAAAGATTTTAAAAAAATAAAAATATATTAATAAAACATACCTAGGGAAGAAGAAAGAGAGGAAGGAAAAAATTCAACTGTTTAGAAATTGAAGAAAAAAAAAGTGTCTAGGTGTAACACCTCAAATTCTTGGAACTCAAAGCGTTAAAATAAATAAAGTCTTAGTTTGAGCTCTTTAATATTAACCAAAATAATTTGTCAATAAGAAAAATTTTAGAGTTCACAATAAAAACAAAATAACGGGAGATATCTATCCATATAGAATTAGACAATTATGGTGCAATTTGATTTTGAAAAGCATTTGGAGGGAATTCAGCGAATACTGATTTCGCAGCAACAGAAAGAAAAATATGTTTGGTCTAGCAGACGTCAAAATTTATGAAATTTTAATAGAGGCTATAACATTCATATATGTACTACATATTTAAAATTTGGGTCCCGCCGATAATGTCTGAAGCACGAAAATACTTTTCAACTATGCTGGACAGTATTTTCGAAACTGACCTGACGCAATCTACTAAAACGGACTTAACTTTTTTCTCTAGATAATATTTTAAGGTAATTCCAAAGATCACTATTAGAAGACTTGTAAACTTTTCAAACCCCACTAATTTCACTCTAAAACATACACCGTAGCCCAAGTTATACCCTTTTTAAGTAGGAGGACAGAATCTGAAAATTTAATTCAGCAATAATTAAACTTCATGCATAGTAAACCCAACATTTCTAAACTTATAGTTGACGTGCAATGTATAGAAAATCTAGACAAAATAAACATTTAAACATTTTTAAAAGTGTCTTCTAAGTTTTCATAAAAGATTTACATAAATGGAAATTTTACTAGGAGCATTTTAAATCGTCGAGCACTTGCCACTATGCCTAACCACTGCCATGCTTCGAATTAACCTGTAAAATTTTAGTAGGAATGAGTACCACAAGTAATACTCAGTAGGAAACACTTAAATAAATGATAAAAAATTATATATTTTCTAGAAATGCAAACTTTGATTATTTGTGTCATCGTCAATTTTGCAAAGCGAACCGATGATCAAACAGTCCGCTTACTCTCAGGTTTTGATAACCCCTTTCAAGTAACAAAAATCATCTCTTCGTCTATTATTTGAACCACCAAATAGTGGTTCCATTTTCTCACGGAGTAACACAATAACATGTTTAATACAAATCAAAAACAAATAATTTTTATTTCACTTACAAATGTGCCAAAAACACCCTACCTTATTGGTGTTTGAATACCCTTTTGTGTTCAATTTGTAACAAAATGCAACGTGATCCTAAGGTCCTTCAATAAATTTTCAGATTCCAATGTGTTGGATAAATGGTGAGTGATGTTTATGTGTTTGGAATTGTGGTTTGAGAGATAAACTTGCTATATATTCTTGAAATAGATAATATCTTCAATTTATTGATAATGGACGGTTGGTTGCAGTTGATCGTATAGGAGTTAAAATGATAAATGGGAGTGCACTTAGTAGGTGGATTACCATTGATCAAATAGGACTTAAAAGGGTAAGTGGGGGTGGGGAGTGCACTTAGTGAGTAGTATAACTAAATATGATGTTTATAGTTGATAAAAGAATCACATTAGAGGATTTTAAAATGTTGAAAATTGGAGCCAAACGTAGGACAAAAATATTATGTTTTAAGGGTTGTTTGGTATACACAATAAATGTATCAAATCTTGATTTTCAAATGGTGGATACAATTAGAATTTACATTTGAATAATAACATGCATTTGAAATAAACTTTTGACTTCTAAATTAAAAAGGGACGATTTTAGGCAGTTGGCAAAAGTGGAAGTTAAAATGGTAAGTTAAGTGGTATGATCATGGCACAAGTTAGTGGGTGGTAAAATTAAATGGAGTGACTTTAGTAGAGAAACCCAGATTGAGAGGTGAGAAAAAAAATACATAGCTATAAAAGGAAATCTTTTGAAGGACAAAATAAAATCATGTTTAAGGGTATTCAACATATATAATAAAGGGATCAAATTTTAAATTTTTAAGGACTTAACATAGGTAGCAATTAATATAAAATATGTCGTTACAAATAACGTAACCAAATCAAAATAAAAAATAAATTTATCGTTTAAAAGAGTCTTTGACACCTTACAAAATTCTAAGACACGTGCACACAACTTTACTATCGTGACCAAAAATAATTAATTTGAAGTATCAGGAAGTGTCGTAGCGACGTAGTAGCGTAACCCACATCATTTTCGAGTTCCACAAGAAAATTTCTTTTAAAATGAAACACAAGATTTTTCTCGTTCGCTACACTAGGCGCCGCATAAGCGAGCTTTTTAGAACTCTAAAAGGGAAAAGCTTAATAGTCATGTATACTGATTATTTACATCTTGAAGTATTATGCTTTACATCTCATTCCTTTCACAGGAAAAATAGTTTCAACAATAGTTTTTTCCATTTTATTTCCTAGGAAGGATGGTGGTGGAGGTCTGGGCCACCTGAAGTTCACGTGCACAAATAAAAGTTGTCAGTTTCTATGCATCTTTTCGGCGACTTCATTTGTTCTCCTTTTCTTGTTGATTACTTCCATATCTACCTTATCTATTGCTGTTCATTTATTTATTTCTCTGTATTCCTCTCAAGTTGATATTGCTATTCTATTTTTACCCCTTTCCCACACTAGTACATTTACTATGGGTCACATGCCTCCCTGAGTACCCAGATTGTGTTTAGTTTTCGTCTTCATTTTTATGTGTGTATGTATATATGCTTTGAACAAGCGCCATCTTTGCCTGCCGCTTGAATGCCAACTTGCCATCAAACAGAGACACGGTTTTCAAATATTCACATATCATTCATCCAACCGGACAGAAATCAAGAATTCCTCTCTCTGTGCGAGTGCATGATATGCTTGCATGCAAATGTGTGTGAGAGAGAATTATATATGATGGTCTACAAGAGTATACAAAAATTTTACTTCTGTGCTTCTCCATCTGCCTCTCACTATTTCTCAGCAATTCATTCATAATGCCTATTACAGTTGAAGCAAAAGATATCTTCAGCTACTTCAGCCATAAAATCTGTCTTCGGTCAGGAAGAAAACCGGCAAAATGCTGTAAGCTTCTTTCCTCTAATGCCAGCAACATTTCTTTATTACCTAAATAAATTGAGCTTCTGACAATATTGTTTCTTTTGTTCTTGTAGGCTGACAAATTAGAGAAACTAAGGGAGAGGATGTTAAAAGTAAGGGAGCTCTTTCGTGACACAAACTCAACAGAATTCATCATTGTAACAATCCCCACGGTAATAGCCATGTATAGATTCTCACTTTGTCTAGTATATATCATGTGCGATTGGAGTAATTAGCTGTGGCTATTTTCTGATTCTGATTCGGGCTAAACTAAAGCATTAAATCTTTTTGCATGAAAAATCCGCCATATTGTAGTTAAACGCCTCATTCAGTCTGTCCATGTGGTGAAATATTTGAAAATGTTTTTCTTCTATTTATAAATAAATTACTGCAGATTTATTTGGAATTGAAAGATGAGATTTCATCAAATTAGTTCAATATCATTGTTACTTGAGTTTTTTGGATAATAAAATTAGATGATATGGATACTCTTAAATCTTCTTGTTTAGGTGATGGCCATAAGTGAATCATCAAGATTATGTGCTTCCCTGAAGAAGGAAAGCGTCCCTGTCAACAGACTTGTAGTCAACCAAATTCTTCCTCCATCCGCATCTGACTGCAAGTTCTGTGCTATGAAGAGAAAGGTAAAATAGTCCACCATCTTTTTTTTTTTTGGGTTAATTTCACAAATGGTCATTGAAGTTACCTGAAAATTTCAAAACGGTCATTGAAGTTTCAAAGTTTCAGAAACAGTCACTGAAGTTTGAAATTTCTTTCAAAACGGTCACTGAATTTTCAGATTTTTTCGCCAAGTTTGAGGCACTTTTTCGGCAACTTCCGACCACCAAACTCGCTGATTTAGGATACCGTTGGAAAGCCCACGATGTCCTCTTCAATTAACACCAAAAATCTCCTCAAAACTCCAAGTGATTCGGCCAGAATAAAGCCACGAAGTCGGCAACCGAAAATTGTGAAAATCTGCCCAGATTTTCAGATTCTTTGGGCAAGTTTGAGGCAAT